CTGGCAGCCGCTGCTGTGCTGCTGGGCGGCGAGACCTGCCCCTTACGCCGCCGCCCCCCGCGGACCCGCCGCGGCTCCCACAAACTTTGCCAGGCGCTGCCGAGGCAAGAGAAGTTCCAGCAGCCTGAACCGGCCGCGCGGGCGGGGGCAGCCCCAGGTCTCCCCCCTGCTTCGACCCCAGGTGTGGCTGAGAAGTTACCCCTCGAGAGCTGGGCCTTTGGCTGCCTCGGCCCTCCGGGGTCTTTCCAACCACCTCGTGGGCTGACTTGTGAGGAGAGGCTGAGGGATCTGGGCACTGGCGATGCGCGGGGGGGTGCACCGATGCTGCCAGTGTTCGCCAGCCCCCGCAGACAGCACTGCCGCCGCCGCCTGCTAGAGCTCACCATGCTCCCCCAGCGGCTGGGGGCAGGCGGCGTTCATGGACCTGGGCTTTTTCAGGCTGGAGAAGAGAAGACCAAGTGAGGGCTGACAGCCTACTTCAACTCCCCAAAAGGGGTTCCAGGGAACCTGAACGACGCGTGCCCCCGGAGGGTGGGGGGGCACTGCGACTGCCCGCAGGCAGTGGCAAGTGGGGAGCTCTCGCAGGCGGCGGTGTCAGTGGTGGCAAGCACCAACCAGCAGTTGGCAACCACCCCCAGATGCCACCAGCGGTGTCGGCAGCAAGGGGACAGGTGCCAAGCGGCAGCTGCCCAGCAGTGCTTCTGTCAGAGGGTGCACCCTCAAGTGCCCCCTACACGTCACCAGTGCCAGAGAGGCTCTGTTATCAGTGGTGGCAGGTGGCAGAACAAGGAGCAATGGTCTCAAGTTGCAGCGAGAGAAGTTTAGGCTGGATGTTAGGAAGAATTTTGTCACTAGGAGGGTAGTAAAACACTGGAACAGATTACCTAGGGATGTTTGTTTAATCTCCATTCTGGCTAGATACAGCTGCTGAGCCCAAGGGAGGTTTAGGTTGAATATTAGAAAAATCTTTCTCACGAGGAGGGTGGTGAAGCACTGGAACGGGTTATGGAGAGAGGCAGTGGAGTCTCCACCCTTGGAGGTTTTTAAGACCAGGGTAGACAAAGCCCTGGCTGGGATGAGATAATGGGGGACAGGCCTGTCCTACTTTGAACAGGTTGTTGGACTAGATGACCTCCTGAGGTCCCCTCCAACCCTCATTTTCTATAGTCCCTTCTAAGCCAGCCTCCTGTGGGAAAGCAGGAAACCTGCAGGTGCCCATTGCCATCCCCTAAATGCGGTAGCAGGTTGTGAAGCCAAGGGTCTGAAGGGCACTGCCATGCAGTGACGCCAGAAAAAGCAAGGTTAGAAGGAAGCTTGTTGGCTTGAAAGCCTTGACACTCCTTAGTCCTGCAAAACCATTCACTTCAGTAAGGAGTATGAGGCCACTCTGGCCCTGGGCTCATCACCTCCAAATGGGACTGCCCCTGTAAGTGTAGTGGAGCATGCACTTACACATGTGCAAATCAGATCATTTAAAGAAAAGAACAGGTTATATCAAGGAAAAAGAAAATTTATAACAGAGAGCTGCTGCTGTTCAGGTATCTCCAGGTGCTTTTTTGCACCTCAGCTTTGACAAGTCCATTTTGCTTTTAACCGGTCTCACTTCCAGCTTCTCATGGCTCCATGACAAGGTTTCAGGCATTAAGAAGATGTTTGGTTATTCCAAGAAAAACTCTTTATTCACTGGATGTTTTTCTATTTGTGTAAACCTCAGTATTAGTGCTTGCGTTCATAAAAGCTTTATTGTATGAAAATGTACAGGTTGAACCAAATTTAAGATGCTTAGTTAAGCATTCAAAAGCCAGGAAGTTTTGCAGTTAGCAGACAGACAGGTGCACTGCATAACTTCAACTTCTGCCTTACTCTCATGCACATTAGCAGGTCCTGTTGGTTACATATGTAGCTTTAACTGGATCACCCTTCCCCAGCATGTTGTAAAGTATAGTACCATTTAATTACACACAGACTACATTTTATATATTTTGCAGCTCTATACGTTTTGATATATAGTTGTATTATTTCATTTTTATTCACACAATTATCATGGCTAATCATCCAATATATCTTTATTGACAGATCTTGTGTCCGATATATCCTTTTCAGAGGCATACATAATTCAGGATTTACAGTAAGAAGGCAGGTAACTGCAAAATAACACAAGGGGGCAGAGTAACATTAACTGCTATACTTCCTGATATCTGTGTGTTTCAGTGAATTCTGAGCAACCTTTTTTACCTATTTATATCGAATTTCTTCGATTTTTTTGGAAGAAGAAAGAAAGAAAATGATAAAATATGATGCTACATTCCTGAGAATTTTGATGGTCTGCTGGTTCACAGCAGCAGCACAGGAAAAACCTATACATTGGAATGATTTGTCTAGTATCCACAGTTTTCCTCGCCCACCAGTCCAGGAGCTGCACAGAGTAGATCCAGTCTGTCGTAAGCAATAACAGCTGCACAGCTCTAACACCTCCAGATAACATAAAAATAAAAATCAGTGGTTACTTCTGAAAATGTTTCCTTTACACCATACATCTTGAAAAACCAGAGAAGTTGCAATACAAAGAAGTTCTCTAAGATATATTTGCTAACTATAAATTGAATTAACCCATCAAACCAATCATTAATAATTCAAGCGATCAGTAGGCAAACCAGAAAACCAGTGTTACTATCCTCACTGATTTAATCCAGCACCTTTGCCACCCTAATATGCAAATACACTCAAATACTCTCCACACTGATTTCTAACGTGATCAACCAGATTCAAATCCAAATATGCAATATTAACTCTAATCTCAAATGTTAATCAGTTGCAAATTACACATTACAGGCCAACCTTTATACATATATCCACAGATGATTTCTCTTAGATGAGGCTGTTGTGTTTGTTGTGGAGTTGAGAAGTGTAATGTACTCATCTTACAGTAATATACACACGTATATAAATTATACAGCTGAATGATAACTGTGTTACATTATCCTGTGGCTTATTGTGTAATCTTACTAGTTCTGCCCTCTGCCTCCTAATTTCTCTTGGGTAATATTATGCTGAGAATTAGGCTAAACCTTATTTAGGTGGGTGGCTGCCATCTATTGCCCCTTAGCAATATATTCCTAATGAATAATCAAGCTACTTTGTGGAATAGATAGCTGAAATAATAGACATTACTGCCCACATTTGTATCCTGAAATACCCCTGGTGGAAACAGAAATGGTAGCAAGGATGCACCAGAAGCAAACATAAATCTATTAGTGGTGTGACCTTTAAGAAAAAGAACTGAGGTAGTGGTCTTTGGGCCAAGTGGCCACATCTGCACGAGCGGTGGATTATGCAGTTGTTACTGTGCAGTCAATTAGTACTTGCATAACCAAGTACTAAATGACTGCGCAGTAACTGGCGTCCCCACACAATTTTTTCTGATGTTACCGTGCAGTTGCAATGAGCTACTGTGCAGTAGCTTGTTACTATTGCACAGTAGTGTTGCATCACAGTTAGTGCCTTCCCAACGCTACTGCGCAGCAGCATCTTGCGTAGACCTGGCCTCTAGAGATGACTAGAAAGGCACTTGTAAAGAAAGAACTTGTCTCCTGCTGTTGATGGAAATAGTGCTTTGTGTGCTTTTTTTGCAAACAGGACTTCAATAATGAAGTATCCAGCTACATCATTAATTTTGCCCCTAAAGGAAACAGCCTTCAAGACCCAGATTTTCAGCTAACCACTTGGGATCAAAAGGAATAACCATAGTGTAATGCTAGGATAATAAGGTATGCAAGAAAAGACTGAGGCTCATGCAAACTTTGAGTTAACTTGTGTCTTCCTAAATTTTAATTGCAATGACAGAAAATGCAACCTTCACTGCAAGTTTTTCTCTGTCACTGTTTTTTTTTAATGTAAGAATATATATATCAAACATGCATACAAACTATACAGTTGGATGATAAATGTATTGGGTAATCTTGAGTGATTATTCTGTCCTTTGCCCATTAATTTATCTCTCTTGCAGGTCCAAGTCTATTTCCAACATTCTAGACCAGCAATTCCCAAACTCTGACAGATTGTATACCACCAGTTTAAAACAATACAACCTTAAGTATCACCAGCAAATTTGTCATATAGAGTAAATATAATAAATCTGTTAATGCGTACCGCTGACAGGTTATCTGTGTACCATTGGTGGTACGCATACCACAGATTAGGAACTGTTGTTCTAAACCTTGGAGGAAGATGCCACTTTACATTTTTTTTCAAACTGCTGGAGAAATGTGAATACTGCTGGTTCTGGAGTCAGGACATATTTTGAGATTTAATTTCTCACAGCAGTGCAAAAATGGGAAACAGGTGTCTGATATCAATAGAAAGGTGAGAGTCCCAGTAGGGGACACATGCTTATTCTGTAAACATTTTACTGCCTAACTAATGATTACAGGTTTTTTTTAAGGTGCTAAAGGATACTCACATACAGATATGCTTTCTCCAATAACTGGCACAAGAACGAATAAATGTATCTCAAATTCCGTAAGACATCAAGGCTGTCCCACATAATCCAAAGTGTGAAGTCACCCTTCCTAGAAAAATATGAAACAGGAACTCTCTTTTACTCATGTTACAGCAGAAATAGAAAAGTGTAGTGGAGACTCTCACTCAAATATTGGAAGAAAGCCCAAACATTGTGTTGGATCATCTTCCCTCTTTTGATTTATGACAATGTGGATCAAGTGAAAATGAATACAGGCTA